TTAGAAGTGTTAAGCGTGAAGTTGCTTCTCTCCGGGTTACAATTTATCGTCTACAGCTGACAGAGCATGAATGAAAGTGTTATGAAAACATGCGAAATTGAGAACATGGACTAAATTCCTCAGAGTCCAAATAAAGCAAAGAAAGTAACGACACGAATTACGTACCCAGAAGGATGACAGAATGATGTTCACAGTTACTCTTCTACCTTAGCATAGTCATTTCGGTTCCACTGGATTCTTAATAAAATATAACTTACAGTCTCCCCATTCTGATTCCACTCCTATCGCCACATTATTTCGCCAACTTTTACAGAACCTACAACCTCACCACTTGGAAGTGACCTTTTTCGCTGCTCGTCTTATTACCTGGAATTTAAAGATTTTAACATTCAAACGTGACCGGGTTATCAAAATGTGTGTCCCATTTCTTCACTGGCTACCTCTAGAAAACAATATGTCGCTTTGACCCTAGGTTAACTATTTTCGTAATGATCCATGCGACGGCAGGGAAGTAAATGCATACACCTTGTCAAATAGTGTAAAAATGAAAATACCAAGCTTCATTTTACCAATCTTCGAAACAGGTTTCCTAATGTCTTGTGCTTTAGTCACGTTTATATTTATCATCTACGTGTATAGTCACGAGTTGGGCCATCTGACAAGTTCCGATTTATAATTTATTTTATAATTAAGTGAGACTCATACCTTAAGTGACAATTTCTATGACCACGATGCTGGTGTCATATGTGGTATGGAAATATAAATTAGACAAAGAAAGTGATTTCTATTGACGATGTTCATTCCAAGTCTCATGAAAGTCCTTCAAGTAAGCTGAAATCTACTAGGGAAGAGACACACTACATTATATAGCGAGATTTGTGTTAGAAAATAAGGCGAATAAACTGAAATAAACAAGAAGTTCTAAGAAGAACTAATCGCTTACTTTCCTTTGATACAAGGACCACATAGAAAGTGACGCGTCCAACAATTCACCTATTGTTGTATGTGCATTCTTTCCAAGGAGCCGTTGCCTAGCAACGATAGGAGAGACACAGATAGATGGGAGGTATCTGTGAAATATGCCGTTGAGATGGGTTCAGGTGCTATTATGTACGTACCAAGTTTCATACAATTTGGTTCACGTACTCAAATTTAATGGAGAAGTTACACAGATCCATACACAGCATGGTGATTTCACAAGCCTACTTCTGCTTTCGAAAGCAACGAAACAAGGCAAAAAATAAACTTTCATATAATATTCATATATATTTATTTGAAACATAAGAGATCGCAGTGATTATCATAAAAATTTAATAACTATCAATGCTGCTGTCAGTGGACCGCCTCTGTGGTCTATTGGTCAGAGTTCCTCGCTGCAGATCCAGAGGTCCAGGTTCGATTCCCGGCTCTACCAGATTTTCTGAGAGGTAGTGGGTCTGGAACGGGGTCCACTCAGCATCAAGAGGGTAATTGAGGAGCTATTTCAAGGAAATAGCGTCTCCGGTCAAGAAAACCGAAATTAACGGCCGTGGGGATTTGTTGCGCTGATTACGCGACACCCTCTATCCGCTAAAGTTGGCGCTGACTTCGCCGACAAGAGGCGGTCGCTCGGTCGGTATAGTTCGCTTGTGGACTAAAACAACGGAGTTTGTTTTTATTTATGATGTCAGTGAATCACGTTAATATGGTGGAATAAACGGAAGGCAAAACTTATACAGACGTGGGAACATGTAAATAAGCGCTATGCACTCTCCGAACGTTGTACACAAAAGGAAAACTTAATATAAATGTAATTGCGACCTGCCCTCACTTTCGTCTCTTGCGACTGGAAACCATGTTACGAATTCCTGTTTAATTTGGTTTCGTGAGTATGTTTCATACGTCTCTTACGCCTGCTAAAACTCCTACTTGATTTCACATGTTTCAAAATCCCTCTTAGTGAAAGAAATTATATTTATATCTGCAGCCGATATTACAGCATCATCTTGTATGTTAATGTTACTTAGATACAGTCAACATAACTTTTATATAGTAAACTACATGTGCTGTTGACGCAGGAACCATCTTCAAGCTTAAAACCTCAAATAATAAAGCCGGGAAATCCAAGTTCTGATGCATTACTAACCATATTTAAAACTTTGACTTTCCTATTCCAATCTAAATACCCGTTTTACATATTAAAATAGTCAACTAATGTACTGATAACATAAGTGTGTGAAATTTACAAAACATGGGAAATAAAATGTAAAATATGATTATATATATTATATTACAAGTCACCTCCATCTTCGGAGTAGAAGAATAAGCCAAACTAGATACCATCAAGAAAAGTTGGAAGTTGGAGGCGATATGTTCCTCTGAAACGTCGTGCGTCTTCCAACGGACTATGTGGCGTTATATCCCAAGAGATAAAACTCTTCATAACCACCGATGTGAGAATATCAAATTATATAATTTTACTTCAGTTTTCAAATTTCACGGACTACTGAGACTGTCCAATAAAACAGTTTTCCGGTAAATCCAAAAGTAAAAATTACCAGTCTGTGTCTCAACATGTTGAGTGCATAAGACTGACCAGCAGAGGCGACTGGCTGCCTGGACGAACAAGAAAGACCAAATACGAAGATAGAAAGCCGGGCAGAAGAAGCGTGGGCAGTAGGGGGTACAGCGCGAGTCGAGTGACTGGTTCAGTCGTCAGTCGCCAACGCCGTGTTAAAGGCACAATACATTCATGTCATGTCGTGTTTCATCTGGACCTTGGGGTGCTGGAAACTGGCCGTTATCCTTCTCTTCTCAGCGGTTCGTGTTCAACTGGTAAGTAATGTGATCCATGTCACGTGACGATACACCATAATTAATGCGTGTACATCTGTCGCCAATTAGCCAGACATTGAACTGAGCGTGTCTAAGCTACAGGAGACGTCATTCGAATAATTAAACCTTATCGGTCCTTTCCGGCGCTGTTGCCTTTCTGTTGAACAAAATGACAGAAACAGATGGAGACAACTGAATAGCTCCATCAGGTGTGATTATTATACAAAGCTCATTCAATCATGTAATTATTTCTTGATGCTTTTATTAATCCTGTTCTTAAAAATAAATATTTTTTTCTAATTCTAGTAAAATAAATATGAAATAGTGGCATATATTTGCATATTTTGCATATTTAATTTTTATATTCGATTAACATTAAGAAACAATTTTTATACGCCGTCGTTCCCGAAGGAAATGAGTAATGAAATAATATTAATATCTCATTTTCATTGAAAACAGTGATTTAGGAAATAGAGGTTAGTAATACAAATATGTTTTCTTCTTTGTAATGGATGGAAGACGGTCAATCAAAGCGAAAACTAGAAACATAAATAAAATTATGACTGGAATCTGCAACACAAACAATGAAATTTCAAAGAACTTAAGATAAAAAAAAAATTCAAACGTGTGGAACTGATTTCTGTGTATTATAGACTCCTGCACTGCAATTATTTAAATACATTATCTAGGAAAATACGTTACCGAACAAGTTATTTCAAGTGGTAACGCTTTCTGTCAGTATTAACGAGGTACGTTTTTTTCGAATTTTGGCCAGCATGCTGACTAACAGAGGTTTTCGTTGTTTTCTTCTGTTGCTCCAGCTAAACGCCGAGACAGTAGTTCACATTAGGCCAAAACCGATTCCTCCTACATATTTTACAGATTATCTAAGTATTCGGTGCTACATACGTTGAGTTGCTGGAAGCGTCTTTGAATACAAGTTCAAACAATATTTAGGCCTTAGAAAGATGAAGTGAGAGGAACAGGGCAATGGGGAGCTTCTTACTTAATATTCTTCACCAAGTGTTATTTGAATGATCGGGAAGACGATACTGGCAGGGACTGTAGCAGACGGGAGCGATCAGACGTGCATAAACAATTTGATCAAAAATGTAAGGAGAAGACACCACTGGGGGGACATAGACATGGATAGGAAGATAATATTGAAATGCACCTTCTGGCAACAATGCATGAGGACGTGGACTGAATTCATCTGGTCCAGGATGCGCTTCAATAGCAGGCTGTTGTGAACACTAATGAACATTCGGGTTAAGGAAAAAGAGGAACGTTTGGCTAGTTGAGTGACAATCAGCTCCTAAAAAAGGACGCTGTTCCCTGGAGTTACGCTTAACTTCTAATGCCTAATCATATCTATACCTGAGCAGCTGAGGGGTCGGAGTTTGAATCCCGGTAAGATTGAGATCTTTCTGTTCTTCACGTCGTTCATACCGGCTCTGGAACCCAACCAGTTTCCTATCCAATGACTATCGAGGACCCTTTCATTGGGGGTAAAGTGGCCGGGGCGTGAAGCTGACCACTCACTTCAAACTAGTGACGATGTCAAGAATACGTGAATCTATACACCTATTCCCCCACACGTCCTCGTGTCGTACTGCTTTATTAGTGAAGCACATGAACAAATTTACCTTTTTTATCTGAAAAGCTATTAGGTTTCTAAAAGGACTCAGCTCCATGAGTTAGTTATTTAGTTAGAGATATCTGTAAAGATTATTGAAGATTAGGTAAAATATAAATGTAAAAACTCCGTTCAAAGAGACTTCCTCGATATCCCTCCCAAAGCGACATCCACAGTCAATTTCACATCTCATTCGACATTCAATAAGTCTAAGTCTTGTACAATATTGGTCAATGATCCCTCGGTAACTATGAATATAAATCTCCATATATGTTCTACAAACAGTAGTTAATATCGGCTAGACATGCTGTCAGTATTAAATTCAAGACTCATCTCTCATAATTTAAATTCTAAGCCTCGTTCGAAACCTTTTTGAGCAGCGGTAACTCTCTGCACATGCATTAAATACGGCAATCCGCCACGGTTTTCTGTTAGTCTCTTGGTGAGTAGTGAGACAAGTCCACTTGTCTGCCACTAATTTGGTCTATTGTACCATCCCATGATGATAAATGATGATGAATGTAGAGTAATCGGTCGAATGAGAATTGGCAGGGCAAACCGAAGTACTCGGAGAAAACCTGCCCCAGTGCAACTTTGTCAGTCACAAATCCCACATGATCTGACCTGGACTCGAAGCGGGCCGCCGAGGTTGGAAGCCGGAGATTATCTGTCTGAGCTATGGCACGACCAATTCGACCAAGTTACTATACATCGTGATGGTTGTCGTAGTTTTCCTGTCAGTCTCCATGTGAATATCGCAATAGTTATCTCAAGGCAGGAAATGACAACTTCAAAACCGTAACCTGTTCAACTTGGACAATCATTTTCATATTTGATATTTCATAACATATACAATTAAATCAGCGTATTAAATAATTGAAATAAGCCGCAGTTTTGTGTCTGCTTAAGCAGATAGAGAATTTCACAACTGAAATCTGTTTGAAGATTGGATTCCCCTTCTTGAAACATGAGTTACTTTCTTTGAAACGGTATGCCTACAAAATCATAACGGATCTGACGAAGCCAACAAGAACGGTGCGACATGGCAGTACGATTGTCAAACATGATAGATGAACGACCAGGTTTAAAAATATATTGTGCAGAACCTGTTTATTCTGGATAAAGGACATATTTCATTTTCTAAATGGAATTATATAGACGAAACAAGTAGAACTACAATATCTTTAATTTTTACGAAACCTTATAGAATTAATTCCTATATGGACAAACAAGATACTATAAAATGAAATTATGTTCTATAATAATATTCTTATTCTGTATAGAGGCAGGTTTTCTTTGTTGCTAGTGGGGGGGGACTAAGTCCCTTGTACTGCAGCCACTTCTGGCCTATTGTACCAGCCCCAGATGATAGGTGAGGGTGATTGTGGAGCAATTGGTGGAATGAAGATTGGCAGGGGAAACCGAAGTACTCCGAGAAAACCTGCCCCAATGCCATTTGGCCACCACAAATCCCACTTGACCAGACCCGGGATCGAACCCGGGCCGCCGCGGTGGGAAGCCAGCGACTAACTGCTTGAGCTATGGCGCGGCCTTAGAGGCAGGTTGACAACACCTTTATTCATATTGAACCATTTATGATCTCCACATTCATTTGTTTCAAGCAAGAGAAACGCAAGTTGACTTTTCTATTCAAAGAGACCAGTCTTCAATCGTTTTCCCAGGAAATTGTTTCTAAAGTGGAACAGAAATTTTCGAGGTTAAATCACGCCGCTTCTATCGGAACAAACTGCAGTTACACAAAATCAGTGCCAGCGCTATTAACGTAATGAAGCGTGATATATAAAGAATTTCAGATTAATTTAGCTGATATTGTCAGGAGCGACAGTAATGTAATGTAATGTAATGTAATGTAATGTAATGTAAAGGGTGGGCCATAGAGTCCCGGTAGGACTCCTTCGGGGGGTGATCAGCTCGTCGCAAGGCCTCTACCTGTACGCAAACATTCATGTCCTGAGTGGGATTCGAACCCACGGTCTCGGCTTCCGAGCGAGCGAAGACAGTGCACGCCTTAGACCGCTCGGCTACCGTGACCGGCCAAAGAATGAAATATACAGAGTTATAATTTTTTACTTCTTTGTATGGGAATGAAACTTGGTCTCTTACATTAAGTGATGATTAATCACTGAGGGTGTCTGAGAATTAGATGATATGAGAAATGTTTGAACCCAAGAGAGGGGAGGCAAGGGAATGCCCTTATGGCATAACGAAGGAAAATTTGGAGGTTCAGAACTGCAAGGCGTCCTGTCGAACCATCACAATGAAGAAAGTTGGTATATAAACACAGCTTCACAATGCGTGGCCTCACAAATACGTCTTATGATGATCAAATCAAAGGGAATGAGACTGAAGAAGAATGTAGATCGCATTGGAGGATATTCCAAATTCGTACAATATTTTAGTTGGAAAACCTGAAGGGATGAGGATACTTGGTCTACCATTTGGCGCATTGAAGAATAATATTCATACGCATCTGTAAGGCGTATGGTCTAAAACTGAGAATTGGATGAATCAAATTAATATGGGATCAGAGTCGCGTCCTTACCATCAAGGAAATTAGTTTTCTACTTTCATAAAAAGCAGGGAATTATCTGATTATCTGAGAGACAATAAGCTTCTCAGGCAAGATTCTATTCCACGTGTTTGGCTACTTAGGCAGCGTCATGGTACCATGTATTTAAACGGTGCTGCAAAGGTTAATATTACGCAGTAGGCCTATGTAGGGACACGCAGCTGTCTTCTTCGGTTTCCGGTAATTTCGGCTTGCAGTTTGTTTTACGATAATGTCAGAACCTCATTCTCATAATGTTAAATGGTAGAATGATTGGTGAATAATTAATTGGTTAGGATTTCGAAGGAATCGGTGATAGTTAAAGTCGTCTCTGTGCGTAACTAATTAAGAGCTATGCCATGAAGGAGTATGGTGGAATGGATGCTGAGATCCAGGTTTTCTAGACCTCGGTACTAGTTGGTGGTGAGTGATCAGTTAAACTCCCCGGCAGCTTTACCCTCGGATGAAAAGCCCCCTTGTACCCATTGAATAGGAAGCTGGGTGGGTCCCAGAGCCGGTCGGGACGACGTGGAGAAGAGAAAGTTCTTGACTCTACCTGGACTCGAAGGCCCACCCCTCAGTCGTCCAGTCCGTACCCAGTTGCTATACCGAATGCGAGATCCCGGCTCTTGTAAGTAACCGGGCCTGGCCTAACCATCGTACTATTCTCGCTCATCCTCGAGGGGTTGAAGGAAAACAAGAACATTCTGGTTCGCCGTGTCCCAGCCGGAATTCAAACCGAGCATCTCCCGAAAGCAAGCCTAAAACATTACCGTTACATCAGTCTCATTGGTTGCATGCAGGTAAGTTAGTGTAAGAACAATTAAAGGACATATTCACTGATTATTAGAGCCAATATAATTATACATGAACACCATTAAGAAGTATCCACGGACCTGTTACGCTCCTGCGAATAGTGAAACGGTTTCTGATTTTCAGAAATTTGTAACATAGCCCACGAAAGATCCTGCTGATAAGAAAGTGTAAAAACGAATGGAATATTAGATACTCATAGGGCCCACTCTGACAATTTTCAAATAAATTCAGATTTTTATTCTTGATTTCAAATGTTATTCAGACAAATATGTTGTGAAGCCAATGAATATTTATTTTAATTGTTATTATAAGCATAAAATATTTCTGACAAAGGAATAAACCGAAATAATTACGTATAGCGAAAATGTACGGCGTAAGATCTCACATAAAATCTCTTCAACAGTTTCGTGGAAGCACAGAAAATAGTTCCGCATATCCAAACTGTAGCTGGCTCTCTTCGACAGACACAAGAGAAGTAGTCCACTGCGCGCTTGCTACCTACTTCACATTCCCTAGCGTTCCTTTGCGGTCAGATTTACAAACCGTCCTACACTCATCCGGGTTTGTAAGATGACACAATTGCATTATCACTCTTAGCCTAATAATTTCCATACGACCATGTGTCCTCCTGATAAGTTCCGAATAAATTAACAGATTTACATAAATTTTATTTTACTATCATGCCACTAGATGCCACCTTACACATTACTAAGTACGTGCTATCAATAATAAGAACATGGCGATCGTGCGATATTCTGAGGTAGGAGTCACGGTAGTACCATTTATCATAAGGTCCTGAATTTTGTGTGATAATGTACTTTTGAAACATAAGCAAATTCCATTAAGGTAAATTAATATAGACTACAAAAAATCACAGCAGACACGCTAATACCTATTTAGTATGTACAAGAATTTACCCCGGCAGAAGCTGTCCATAGTCAAAATTCTTAAATATTTATGCAAGGTATCAACATCCGTTTTAGAGATTTAGCCTTTCGATAAAATGAAAATCATAAATTTAAAAGTGAATAATATTTTGTTGGATTTTAAGAATACTTTTATCTCCGTCGTTGTTACGAACAAACAAGGAATCCTGTATCTATTTCAAATTTAATTTCCTTTACTTTTAACTTGTCCAACATGTTTATATTAACAATTCCAGTAAAAAAAAAAAGTAGTAACTCTCATAGTTAATGCAAATAATCCGGCTTTTAATCCAGATTTTTCCATTTCTATATTTCACTAATTAAAGTAGTAATTGATTTTTAGTCCTTCAAAATGCTTATGAAAAAAATCTTTCGGTCATTTGCATGTGAGGACGCTGATTCATGAATAACTTGTAATCGTACTGACACAACTTTACGAAGCAGTCTTCTGTATAATTTCTAAGGCTATATTTGGAGAACAATAGCCTTTCGACAAGAGCAGTGCGTATTGGTGTCGCAACCCGTGATCCATGCATAATTAGTTCTTGCGACTGCAAGACATGGACCGAAAGAGTTCCGAGTGCTAAGCAAACAATCTTCAAGTTCATTGTCCAGCAAGAAGTGCTGCCAACAAAACCTGTTTGGAATTACCTTGTGATTCTCAGCTACTCTCCTTACTTACAACTCCTCAAACTATCCATAAGATTCAAAGCCTTCAAAGTGTCGCTCCCATTTCAAATAAGCATCAGTGGTTTCAGTCTGCATTGCAGTTGTCTCAGGTGGCGAGGAATTGTGTGGCAGAAGAGAAAAAAGAATGGTTGTCTACTGAATTCCTGGTTTTATATCATTTTCGTGTTGGTTTAATCTCACAAACACATTCACTGCCAAGTGCTTAACTGTCAGTTTCGATTGGATAAACAAACACTTCAACCGACTCACTTCACGGAGCAAAATGATTCTTGAGAATCTACGAGTCTCAGAAAAGGAATACTGCATCTATGTTTGGGAACTAAAGTTCATGACCTCATTTACAAGATCCCACTAATGGTGTGTTCTCTGAGTCAGCTGAATCTAGACCGCATTCTCACATATTATTGTCACTAACATCAGTCTGTCATCTACATCTAGTTTTCTCGAATGGTTTTATGCCTTCGAGATTTCCGACTAAAATTTATATATATTTATTATCCTCACAAAACCACGCCCATTTTATCCTCTTTATCATAATCAATTTTTCTAACCTCCTGCTACATCACCTCTCTTTGGGTTGACCATTCTTGGCTTCGGCACTAGCGACAAGTGAATTGTTAGCTTCACGTCCCCACCGTGTCATCCCCGAAGAAAGATCCCCGGGCTTCCTTTTTGATAGGAGGCTAGGTGGACCCCTGAGTCCGGGAGCCGAAACCCAGCAGTCCAGCCAGTAGTCTGCTGCTATACCTACTGACCTGACAGTCGGAAATTATTTGTATTCCTTACATTACTCACCATATAAAAAATGTTCAAATTGATGTACTACATTTTAATGAGATATAGAAACTTGTTTTACGTGATGTGCCAGCTTACTATCACCATGATTCAGTTTCAAAAATGTTAAATTAAAATTATTATCCATCATATACAAGCCCAGAATTTACAATTGAACTTAGTCATTAAAATAAAATATTCGGGTAAATTTCAGTGTGAACACTTAATACTAAATGGCATTTAAATCAGCCGAATTATTTCGAAGATAAAACCTACCGACCTACAGACACATGTACCAATCCAGCCACAGTACTACTCATTCATTTTGTACACTGCGCAGATAATTAATAAAGGGTGTAAGAACGAGGGTTACGGGCTGTAGGGGGTACTGTACACACTTGCAGTCAACATATGCCCAGAAATCAATGCCTCTGTGGGCGTTAAGGTGAACGATATTTAGGACCAGTTGTCTTACCTAAAAGACTAAGAGATGCACTGCATTATCGTCGTTTTGATGAAGGTTTCACCAGTACTTTTGGAGCATGTGCCTCTTCACGAACGACAACACGTGTGGTTCATGCCACCAACTCATTTTCCCCGCATTGTCAGACAGTACCAGAACCACACTTTCGGTGAACAATACATGGGATGCGAAGGACCAATCAACTGGCCTGCATGATTCCCTGACCTTAATCCTCTGAATTTTTGGCTGTGGGGACTCATAAAAGTTTCTGTGTATTCATCGTCGATCAGTGACTTAGAGGCACAACAACCAGCAGAGAATCCCGAGTTCCGAGTGAAACCTGTACTATTCGACAGAATATGCACCTCTGTGCGACTAAGGACTGAAAGTTGTGTTACAGTGCATGGAAACACACAGAGCATCGCTCAAATCTCAGCAGGAATTGATTTCTAAACATACGTTGACTGGGAATTTTTTGCTGTAAATCTTTAACATTCTGTATAAATCTACGATATATTTCTTTGTTAAAGTTTGAATACAAGAGATTACATGCGAAGAGCAATGGCATAAATTTTCTGTTACAGAGTGAAGAAGCCGAAAATTCAACGAAAACAACGAAGAATTGGTTCGGGATTTTTGCAGCCAGACCTACTATAGTTGAAACCCCCCACTGCACATGTAGTGAGTATGGAACAGTTGCTCTGTAAAAATACAGATTACTGGCACATATTGCCTTAACGAAGCAAGGTGTTAACGTTAGGATTACAGAATAGATGTTATCAACTCGAAAATAATTTTTAATCTTGAAAAGCAGAATGCATACACATGTAGAAATCCTCTCTCACCAGGAAGTATAACATAGGACGACCTACAGCTTCCAACCTGATGTTTATCCCAGAAAGCTGATACGTGTTGAGACAAGAAGACATAAATCTGAAATTCCAGGTATCCTAGCAACTTCCTCATAGTTCTAACAGATATTCCGAAACGTGCATTTACAATGTTTAGTGTGGTTAAAATAAAACTAGTAAATATTTTACGCATATGTTCATCATATTGGTATATTTAATGAAGTAAACACAATGTGGAGATCAAATCAGTTTACCTCCATCTTAATTCTTTAGAATTTTGGACGAAATTTTTATTGTAGTCTACAAAGAAATCTGTCGGGAAAATTTCAATTTGTTTCATGTCAGGTAATTGTTAAGTATACTTAATTCTTCACTTCTCTGCATGAAATCTGAATATAGATTTACAAATTTCCTTAGAAACATTAACCTATATAAGAACATCTCTGTACATTAACATTAACATAAAATCTATAAATTTTATCATAAATATTATATTAAATTATATTAAAATTAAAATTATATTAAAATTCTTATCCTCAGTGGAATACAAAGAGACGTGATATGGCATAGAATTTAAGAAGTGCAATAAGGCTTGCTCTCACAATTAAAGAATGATAGTCGCTCAGCTGGTCGAGAAATATTCCACTTTTCATGTAATTGGAGGTTCACTACCCGTCTGGGCCAGGTGAAGTCAGCCTTTGACTAATTCATTTCAAAGAATTCTTCCATGTCCAAAGTCCTATGTAACGTTTGGTAACACATTAGCTTTTGCGGTAACAGGTTGTCAGAACCACCGCCTAGCCTCAAAGCAACAACTGTTCACATTTGGGGGCTGTCTCCTCCATCCATAACATGAGAACACGCCCTGCCGTGGTCACAAGCGATGCACTAAACGTGGGTTAACTTTCCAGCAATATAATCTCTGAATCTAACGAAAGTATCCCTTTACTGTTTATTTTTACTGACATAGATTCTTATGTGCAACAAAAGAACAGTAAGGCTAGTGACAAATAAAATCCCCCCCCCAAAAAAACTTCGAGATTCTGTGCACGCCAGGATGAAGTTCATTTTCTTTTTGTTAAGACTACTTTTGTGTCTATCTATTGTGTATGTTATGGGAACGCATTACGAGTTTTGACAAAACTCTTTATCTTCAGATTACTTTATTGCACAAAGAACTACTTTCATGGATTCAAACCAATAGGCATACTTAGAAATTTGGTGTGTTACGCAATATCTGTCTTTCATCTTTTGACTTGGATTCACTGGGCATAGTAACAGATTATATACTCGTCCTTCATAGTGACACTCAATTTTCAACTTGAAACGAGGAATCTTCTTGTTTAATCGGAGAATTTCAGATCACAATCAATAGCCTTTCCTTTCTAATAAACTGATATTTACAATATTATATTTACGCATCCTGTTACACTCACACAATATATATGAGACAAACTCCGTCTTAAGTGCAACAATTTAATTGTAGTTCTTTCTTCTTGCATTCCTCAACACTGATATTTCTACACATCTAGCAAGTTGAATTGTCGGCCATCTTTGTCCATTTGTGGCATATTGTAAACCATCAGCACGTTTATGAGATGGGCTATGGTCAACTGTTCATCATGATCTCTAACGTGATATTTAAGGATATCACAGCGGTGAATATGAAGATCAATATCTTTTGGGATGTGACGGGGCTTTGTCCGATAAGATTGCACGGTGTCGCATCTCAGGAGATAATTTTAATCACTTTAATACATTTTCTTTCTCAAATAAACACAATTATAAACACCTTAAATATAATATTCTTAACAATCGAGTAGGCCTACACAATTATCTAGAATAATTTGTTTTATTACTTCTGGCGTCAGAAAGTATTATATACACTCATATAACTATTTTATTAAAGAGCTGAAAATAAAATTTTCCTTAATATCACGTACGAAAGCCATCATCTGCAGCACAAATATCCAACACCAACTGTCTGAGTCTACTCTCAGTGCTGCTCGATCCCCCCTTCGCATAAAGTGCACTAAGTGAACATATTATGTCGGTACTGTCCGCCCACGTCTTTCAACTCCGAAACAACAAAATTGTGTTGCATATCGAAGGTCAGCAATAAAATTTTCTTTGGGGGGAATATATACAAGTTCATATAAATATATTGTGTGATCTAATGTAATCTCTGCATTACATAAAAATTAAATTGATTAATTAGTTTTTAATAATTTCCTGAAAACAGTTCATCGTGCATAAATTACGTAAAACGAAATACAACTTCAATCTCACAGAGATGTACAGATCCTAATTTGAGAATATTTCGATAAAGAGAACATTTAGAGGAATACGAGTAAAATAATTTTCTATTTTGTACAGTGTGAAAGCTTTTGCATGATTTAACTTCGTACGAATAGCATTTTATTTCCTGTCCTTAAATGATCCTCCCCGTGTGGGACACGACTGTAGGCCCGAACTAGCACCTGGAACTATTCCAGCATGTTGCAACGTCTTATCTTCTTAGTCTTGTATAACTCATTACTTATTTATCTCTGATAAATTCATCAGTACCTTACAATTTCGCTGAAAAAGGGAACCCTATTTTCCTTCATCCATTTACTTTATTGTACCTTAAGCGCCGTCCCCCCTCCCCATTTTCTGATCCACAAAACCCCCTTTAAGTAATAGTATGTAGAAGTATAAATTTCAGTCCAATAAAACGTTTATTGCAAAATAATGAAAGCTAATTTAAAAGCTGTATGCTTCGGTGATTTCGATTTGCAATCAACAGATATTTTATTTCAAATCTGGAGATGAATTTCTGTGCATGAGTTTTTGTAAACATATTATGCATATATACACATATAAAAGACAATAATAAACATGCTATGTAAACAATTATTAAAACTATAAATATTAAGGAAGATACGGGGATTTTTACGAAATACTTCTGGGAGGCTTTCCTGTAGAAATAAAAATAATAACAAAGTCACAAACGTAAGTATGCACGTTAAAATTAAAAAATTGAATGAATTGAATTTTTAACAGAGGAAGCTTATGTGGATTAAGATACTTACCGAGATGAGAGCACAAGTTTTGACTGTACACCGTTGTAGGGAGAGTTAGACTGCGTCAGTTGTGTTGTCTTGTAGTGTTGATGTTTATGCGGTGCTGCTTGGAGAGCTGGAGAGGCACTTCGTAGCTGAACATGACGTCAGAAATGGGGGTTTAAGCATCTCCGTAAATGTCGCTTAAACGGATTTTCAACTTAGCCCTTTTATAGATTTGGATGGGTTATAAAATACGAGGTTAAGTCAATAACAAATTTGAATGGCTATATCAGGGGTGAGCCTTCTCGGTCCTTGCACCGCGACCTACAGTGGTCTATTGTGCTTTAATAAGTAAGTTACAAATGGATATAGAACTTAAAGAAATAAGAGTACTGATTTGAAAAATGCTTTTATTTCTCAACATAATCTCCCTGTACACTGAGGCACTTGTCTCATCGTTTCGCAAGCCCCTGAAAACCAGCAGCCCAAAGAATTTTATGCTGCTGGTCTTCAGGGCCTTGCGAAAAGATGGGACAAGTGTCTCAGTGTACAGGGAGATTATGTTGAGAAATAAAAGCATTTTTAAAATCAGTACTCTTATTTGTTTAATTTCTATATCCATTTGTAACTTACTTATTGACTTACCTACGTATTACAAATAAATGATTGAGTTTATATTTTTAAAGTCCATAAGAATTTAATTTTTTTAACATTTCAGAACAGCTCCGCATCTGTAAAGACGCTAAATTGAAAAATATTTTAAATGGCATTTACGGAAATATTTACAACCCGTTTCGGACATCATCTGGAGCAACGAAGTGGGACAACGGGAACAACGGATTGTACGATATCTTAAGGTATAATCAGCCTACAGTCTTCCGCCAAAAACCAACGCACAAACATCAACATTACAAAACACAACTGACGCAGTTTAATCCTCCGTATAAATGTATATACACATCTGAACGTACACAGCTATTTCCGTAAGCGGCTTACTCCATGTACAGTTCTTATGTATAACAAAACATTTTATTTTATAGATTTCTTCCTTACAACGTACATACTTATAGTTATGAATTCGTTAATATTTATTTTCTTTACACGTAATGCCTCTCAGTAGTATTTTTTCATAAAACTCCCGGTATCTGCCCAAATATTTATACTTTTAATAATTATACATATATCAAATTCGTTACTGACATTTATATGCCTAAGTGTATCATGTATGCAAATGAGGCGCCTATAAAGCTTTCTCTCCAGATTAAAATATAAAGGTCTGACGATATGGAATCAAAATTGTAGAAATATTACAATTTAATTATATTACAATGAAACCGTATTTGACTAAAATCTATACTTTTACAAGCATTTAATTAATTCAACGGGAATGCAACCCTTCACCTTTAAATCCATTTACTTAATTAGATATTCTGTCTGTGTACTTGTATGAACCAACCTACCAGGAATCTGTGTTGATCTACGACATTCCTCAGGCAGTTGAAGGATATTCAGATGATCAGCAAATTCCCTACAAACGTGGAAACTGAAGATCACAAAATATTATCGTTACGTCATATTCTGAGCCAGCTGAATCTGGACAGTACTTCAACATTCTGTTTCTATAAGAAAATACTCAAAACTTCCGCGGGCGGGTTACTTTTCTTGCTACCTTCTTCGTGTTGGTTTCTTACTTGGCTTACTATTCGACATTGAAGATGGAGGCGGCATATTCCTACGAAAAGTCTATCGACTTTCAGCAACTTACAAGGCGTTATATCCCACAAGAGAGAACTCTTCAAAATATAGTAATATTTTCTCATTAATTCCATGCGCGCCGTGTGTTCTCCGCCCTTCTTTATTCAACTACCCTAACAATCCTACATGAAATTTCAGATTTAAGACTTCCGTGCCGTAATTTTAACCCTTTCGTTATTATTTTATCTCTCCCAGGCCCAAATATCTTAGTCGATTCTTTGTTATTTAGTTACCCGTGAGCTTCGTTCTTCGTAAGAAACAGGCCCTGTTTAACGCTCGTATAAAACCAAATATGCGGCACTATAATTTTGCTTGTAAAGATAAAGGTAATGAGGTAAAGCTATCACTGTAACAGACCATGGAGGCCTATAGGGTAATGAGACTTCGAGGCTCCCGCATTTTCTAGACAATCGGCTGACAGATGGCAGTGAATTTGTCGGCCTTACCTGCCGACCGCCCTTTACCCCAAGAAAGATTCCTGGCACTTATTTTTTTCTAAGCAAAATTATAGTTCAATGTATTTCAATTTTAAATAAATAAATATAACTGCTAAGAATAGCTTGCTGGTCAGGGTAGCCGAGCGGTCTAAGGCATGCGCTGTTTTCCCTCGCTCGGAACCCGGGATCGTGGGTTCGAATCCCACTCAGGGCATGAATGTTTGGTGTTTGTGTGCGTTCTTCTATGTTCATGTACAGGTCGATAGGCCTTGCGACAAGCTGATAAACCGCCCAAGGGGTCCTACAGAATGTCTAAGATCTAGTAAACCGAAGTGAAACGGAGAGTTTCGTGGAAGTAGGCCAAGGTCCAAATTGGGGCTGTAGCGCCAAAGAGAAAAAGCAATGGATAATATACGGCGCCAATGAGCAACCCGCAGCACACTAGGTGCACTGCTGAAGAGGCCTGAATCAGTGACTGGGTTCCTAGCAAGGTTTTACCACTGTTTCTCGTAAAGATGTTCCTACTGTTCTAGGTTGTGGCGAACGTAATGATGGCAGCAGGATTGTGGGTGGAAAGCCCACAGAGATGAACGAATATCCATGGATGGTCCGTCTTTCATACTTCAATCGGTTCTATTGCGGTGGCATGTTGATCAACGACAGATACATCCTTACCGCTGCACACTGTGTCAAAGGGTAGGACCAGTCTCGTTAAGAATAAGCTCAACCGAACAATTCTACTGCTACTTACAACTTCATATCAGCTAAGGTTTTGCAGAACTTCATCAGGCATCATCCTTATGTAGGCCTAGAGTGAGCTGTGTGCACGAAACCCAGAAATTGCACATTATACGAAAAAGTCTTTAGACATGCATTCATTGGTCCATGTAATTCTTGTGTCGAAGAGTACAATAAAAATTGCTTGTGTGTAAATATGTAGGAGGAAGCCATGCACTGAGAAAGTACCTGAGGGAAAATATTCGAGAAATATTAATTTCCTGGAAAAGAAACTTTACCGTCAATATCATTTGTATAAAAGGATATCTCTACTGATTACTTAATTCCACTACGTAATCTTATAATGACATATATAGAACATTTCTCTATATATTGTTTGTTAAAAGAGAGACAATCTTCAGCTGTATAAAATATTTTACTAAAATGATGAGTCAATAAAATCTCCTTACGTGTTTCAGTCTTATAGGACCATCTTCAGAGGCCGGTGTAATAAAAGGAGATTGCATATATGTATGTTTAAAATTATATTTAAATGTCTTAAACTTATATTATAAACATTTCCTCTCAGTACAAGAAGAAACCGTTGTATTTGTTGCTGTACATTCGGGGTGTATTATTTAGGTGCTCTTATTTATGCTTCATACGAAGTGTTTAGTAGTGATTTGTTTTTAGCTGTACGCAAATACGTGTATAACATGAAATGTATTTATATATGTCTTATCACAAGATAAACAAATATACATAACTGAATTCCATGACTCGTAATAAAATATTTCGACCTAAGTAAGAACAGTTCAACAAATCAGGTTAATTCAAATGGCATTTTTAAGAAACTTGCCTCCTAAGTTACTGCAGAAATACATTTATATTACTTTCATGTAAATTTTTTCTGTTGGCATAGGGCCTGGGTTGGCTAATAAATTAGTTTCACTAATTTTCACCAAACCCAAGTAAGAAAGTCAGACACTTAATCCTCTATGTGTTCCTAATGCCCTTCATGCAGCGACAAAGTCTGTAAACCTGCTCCCCTAAAACTCGCCCGATAAAAATTTTGACTGAAGAAATATCTGTACTCCTTGAAAATCCCAGGCTTCGGTCCTCACCGATTTAGTATGACTTCAGTTGCAAAGTTCATGTGTACCCGTTGTGTTGTAACTTGCCGCAGGACAACCATTCAAACCAACACCACTCTGCATCCTTGCGATCCATTGCCTGCAGCAGTAAGACATAATTGCTCTGCCGACGAGGAACTGTCTTTATAATGCAGCCGTTTGTTCCAACAGGTTTATGTGGTTCATGATCAAGGTGACATTCGGCGAACATGATCGTTGTAACGACACCCGGAAGCCGGAAAGTCGTTTCGTGTTGCGTGCCACAACCGGTGACTTCAGCTTTATGAACTTCGACCACGATATCGCCCTGCTGAGGCTCAACGACAGGGTGCCAATCACTGACACCATCCGACCAATCTGCCTGCCCAACAACACAGGTGAATANTCATAGTCACCGCCGTGAAAGCCTCAAATCTTACAAAAACCGTTTTGTTTTTATTCAACATGCGAACTCGAGTTCTTTCCCTTTCGTTGTTTAAGAATAAGCATTCGTTTGAGATCAGAAAAACTGCGAATAGTATGGTCCTATGCCAAATATTTGTTATTAGTAATTTGTTTTATATCAGTATTTCTTGCTTAGAAGTATTGTACTTAAAAATTCTACATTTTTTCGTTTCAATTATCATAATAGTAGCAGATGTTTTACATTCATGAGCAGTCTGACATGCAGGCATCTCTCTGCAAAAAAAAACATAAGGAGTATTAAGTCAAAAGGTTAATAAAAAGATAAATTAAGCAAAAGTAAATAACCACCAACTTCCATCGTCTAAAACAAGTCATTGTTATTGGGATGTTGGACATATTAAAATGTAGGCCTCTCATATCTGAATACCGCCACCTTATTTAAAAAAAAAACTCTTTACTGTTATTAATTTAATATGTATTTATTTACGTATTTATTCTTTTACGCATTCATTAAAATATTATTTAATTAATTCGTCTCTTTATATACATTAGCTCATTTACTTATTTATTAGGTTTATTTATTCATTTCTGCTAAAATTAATTTGTCATTTTATTTCATTATTGATTAATATGTCGATTTGTGTAATTGTTCTTTAATTGTCAGTTACTCTACTAGTCGGTTTAATTTATGTCGACACTTCAGAGCAAACACAGAAATACTAAGAAACTATCATCATATGTAATTATACGTCACTGTTCTGAGAAGTTCACACTGTAATGACAGGTAATGTTGGAGCGCATTTAATACATTAAATGAATTTTTAATTAGATGAGGTGTATGAGGGAGTGAAGGCGATAGCAACCGGATGGGGCACGGTTAAAGAAGATGGCAAGCCTTCCTGTATCCTGCAGGAAGTAGAAGTTCCCGTTATGAGTAATGAGGACTGTCGGAAAAACACCAAGTACAATGAGAAAATGATCTCTGACAACATGCTCTGCGCCGGTTACCCGGAGGGAATGAAGGATTCCTGTCAAGTAAGTTGGTAACTCATCATATAAAAGTGGTTCCTAGGATTTCCTGACAAAAATCTTAATTAATATTGTTTTAGGAGGGGGGGGGAAGTGGTAGCGTAGTTGGTTGAGGGGCTATGCTGCAAGCCAGAAGGTCGCGGGTTCAAGTCCCGATGAGGTCACTGGATTTTTTCAATTGACCTAATCCTTCCAGCCGCACTATGG